GTTTAGCCTTCATTTGTTCCTCTAATTTGTGACTAAAATCAACCAGTTCTGTGAGCATCCTGATCACCAGTGTTTTGAACTGTGCATCTGAAAGTTTGGCTATTTCTTTGTCGCTTAGTTATGGGCTCTGGGACTTTTGAGTTCTTCTTGAGCCATGTTTTGGTCTGTTTGCGCCTGTTACGTATGAGGGGTGGAGTCTTAGGTGTTCACCAGGGTGGGGCCACCCAGGTCGCTGGGTTGTGACGCTGAATGTGGGGGCGGGGTCAGAAAGGAAGCAATGGTGGTCCCCTCTGCTGCTTCCCGCCACTGGGGCCTGTGCGTTCTGTCTCATTGCTCGATCCTTTGCTGGTTTATCTGCACGCGAATGTGTGACCGTGGTCAGCCCTCAGTGGGTCTGCCCACTGCTACTCCACACCTGGGATCCGCCCACGGATGCCGGTGCGCCTGGGTCGAGCGCCCGGGTGGGTCCGGTGGATCTTTCCTGCCGGACCCGCTCTGCTGCTGGCTCTGCCCCTCTTACCGGTCTGGCTGAAGGGTTCATTGTTGTTGGACTTCCGTATAGTTCAATTTTCAGTGTTTTGGCTGCATATTTTGTTACTAAAACTTTATTGTCTTTAAACTTGGTTGTGGGAGAAGGCATAGTGTTTCCACCTACGCCTCCATCTTGGCGGAAGTCTGTTACAGTGATTTTTGATCTCTCACATTTCCTTTTTATTCTTCCCTAGAATTTCCACTTCTTTACTGACATCACCTGTGTGTTCTCACGTGTTACCTACTTTTCCATTACAGTCCTCAGCCTGTTCTTCGTAGTTGTTTTAAATTTCTATCTTGGTAATTCCATTGTCTGTGCATATGTGAGTCTGGTTCTGATGCTTGCTCTGTCTCTTCAAACTGTCTTTTTTCCTTTTAGTATAGCTTGTAATACTGAAGGTCCTACACGATGCCCTGGGTAAGAAGAACTGAGGTAAAGAGGTGCTTTTAGTGATGTGTGGTGGTAAGGTGTAGGGTGAAGGAAGTGTTCTGTGGTTCTAGGATTAGGTCTCAGTCTTTTAGTGAGCCTGTGCCCTTGGTCTGTGAACTTCACAAGTGCTTTTTATTATCCAGTCGTCATCCTCACGTGCCCGCCACCACTACCCACAGCCCCGCCCACCCCCGCCCTTTGGGTGGTTCAGGATAGCTAGAGTGGGCTGGAGTTGGGTATTTCCCTTCCCCAAGTGGGACGCTAGCTGAAGCTTCCCCGGCCCCCGGGTCAGTTAGGCTCTGATAAAACACCAGTAGATCAGACTCCCCCTCCTAGAAGTGTTTGGAAATGACATTCTTTCATCGAGTAGCAAGAAAGGAACTCCAGGGGCCCACAAGTGGGAGGTTGTGGCATGGTGAGCTTTTACTGTAGAAGTAGAATCAAAGAACTGGGTTCCATCGCTTTCCATCCTGCCTTGGAAAAAGTCCAGTTTTGTCTTCAGCAAACCCAGTGCAAGACCAAGGTCCAAAAGTTCTGTGCCATTGGTTCAGTCCAGTCCAGTCTTAGTCACCACCCAGCTAGCTTAGTCCCTGTTCCCAGCTGTCTCTGTCTGTGTGCCCGCTGGGCTGCCACAGGACCCAGGCAGCCCCTAGGGCCACAGGGCTGCTACCGAGAGAAAATGCAGGAGTGAATGGGCCGAGCGTGTTACCGAGCTAGAGAGAGCGAGCTCTTTAAGTTTGGGTTATATTATCTCAGGCTCGGGACGGACCAGGCACTCTTTCAAACTAACCAACCTCCCAGTCTTTCACAGGCTGCATTGGGGCTTCCCCTTAACCTATTTCCTAGATCTGTTCTGGGGTTCTGTGTCCTGTAACTGATGTGATCCTTTTCCCAGGCTAAAGACTCCCCTTATGGTAGCCATCTTAGCTCCTAATGTGCATGCCTCATAGTAGAAGTACTGTCCCTGTGTCCTTTTTTTACTACCTGGCATGTGCCCAGCCGAATAATTTCTCCTAGGTTTCTTATTCCTTGCCCCCATAGTCTGGGCAAATGGACCTGCTGTACTTGGGGAGAGTAAAGAGTCATCCTTCCCCCCACATGGGGCCAAGGCAGGTTAATCCCCTTGCTGGGGTGACACTGTCATCCTCCGGGGTGTCTGTGAATGATGCACCTTCCTAGTGAAGCAGGCTTGTGCTCCCTAGTTCATTACGCTTAGTAATATCTGATTCCTTTTGCTCCCTTCCTTTAGTGCTGTCTAGCTACTTAGGGGAACAGAAACACAAACATGAGGAGTTTTCTCTGCTCTTCACTCTGAGAGCCTGGTACAGCTCCTGGAAGGTCAGCTCACAAAGTGTGGTTGGTGCATCCCCTCTAAGACCGGGGTCCCTGTTGAGAGATTTCAGCTCGCAGTTCCCCACACAAAGCCTCTAGCAATTTGTCAGCTGCTGGTTAAGTTTTCCTGTGGTGGTGCTAAGGCCCTGGGGGGTTTCTGCTGGGGAAAAGGGTGATTTTCGGTGTGCACTTGCCTGATTTTGGGGCGAAGGAGTTTTCTCTGTGACCTCAGTTCTCATATGGACCTAAGAGGAGTTGTCACTTTTCAGTGCGCCCAGCTTTTTACTTGTTTGGACAAAGTGGTGACGTCGAAGCTGCTTACAGGCTGGACTAGAAACTGGACGTCTGCCTCACCTGCTTATCTAGGCATTTTACTTTTTTCCTGCCTTAAATGTTTAAAGTTATTTTTTATTGTGGTAAAAAAAAAAAGTAACAAAAATGTATCTTCTTAAAAAATTTTAAGTGTACAGTTCTGTAATGGGAAGTACATAGTCACATTATGCAACCAGTTTTTATCTTGGAATGAAACTCTGTGCCCATTAAATGACAGCCCCCTGTCCCCCTTCCCCCAGCAGCCACCGTTCAGCTTCCTGTCTCTGTGAATCTGTCCTGGGTACCGCACATCAGTGAAATCTCACAGTATTTGCCCTTTGTGACCGAGTTTTTTCACTTAGCACAGTGTCGTCAAGGTTCATCCATGCTGTGGCATGTGTTGGCATTTTCTTCCTTTTTAGACTGAATAATGTTTCACTGTAGGTGTATTTCACATTGTATGTATTCATTCATCTCTGCGGACACTCATGTCCGCAGGTGTGTTGCTCACACCTTTGGACTGTTGCCAATAATGCTGTGAACATAGGTGTGCAAATCTCTTTGAGATCCTGCTTTCAAGTTTTTTTGGTTATACACCCAGAGTGGAGTTGCGGGATCATATAGTAACTCTATTTTTAATTTTTTGAAGGACCGCCACACTGTTTTCCGCAGTGGCCGTACCATTTTATTTTCCCACCCACAGTGCACGAGGGCTCTAATTTCTCCACGTCCTCACCAACACTCGTTTTTGTTTTTTGATAGTAGCCATCCTGGTGGGTGTGAACTGGCACCTCAGTGCGGTTTTGATTTGCATTTCCCAAATGATTAGTGATGTCGCACATCCTTTCATATGTTTGTTGCCATTTGAGTATCATCTTTGGAGAAATTTGTACTCAAGTCCTTTGCTCATTTAAAAATGAGGGTTTTAAACCCTGTCCTGCCCTTCCCGCCCAGTTGACTTTTCTTATGAGTCAGTGCTTGTTTGGGGTAATTTATTTGCTTACCCTTCCTTCCATCTCCTGCTTTCCTCAGGTGGTCAGTCCTGTGTTCTGAAGCACAGTCAGAAACAGTTCTTTCATTGAGGGTCTGTTAATAACGAACACTGAGGTTTTTCTTTTCCTTTTGTTTTCATCTGGGCGCAGATTTAATTTTGGTTGGGAACTTTGCTTTCTGAATATGAAGCTCCATTCTGTGTTTTTCATCAGCTCTTGAAAATTCTTAGCTAGTAGCTCTTCAGATACTGCCTCTCCCCCATTCTGTCTATTCCTTTTGCACTACTCGTTAAACCCATTTTGGGACCTCTTTTATGTCCTCGCTATGTCTGCTGACCTCCTGTTCACTTTTTCAGTCTCTAATTCTGTGCTGCCTTTTGTAACTTCCTCACATCTCAACCACTGTACCCTCATGTGCATCTGTTTGCTAGTTTTCTTTACATTTCTAGCAATTTTATTTGGTTAATTTTAAAATCCCCTTTGAGACTTAAAATCTCGAAGGACCACTCTTTGTTGATAGCACCTTGTTATTGTCTCCTGTTTTATGACTTTAAATATTGGAATATTCGTAATTTCTGATCTGTAGCCTATCTTACTTCAGTTCTTGTTGGTATAAACCTCCCTGTTCACAGTAAGAGTGGTCCTTCCCTGCCCATTTTGTAGTTCAGTGGGACTTTATCGTAGAATGAACTTGGAAGGGAATCTCTTTCTAGACTACTTTTGTTTACCTCTGGTAGCTTTCCCATGGATAGTGTCAGGCAGAGACCATTTCTGAGTTAGATTCTCAGTGAGACCAAGTCACCCTAGACTACTAGGCAGTGTGGGTTTGAACTGTGAACTACAGTGAAGGCAGGCCTGAGGTCATAAATTCTCCTGGCACACTAGCCTCCCTTTCTGCCTGAATAGATCCCAGGTCCTGTTTTCTTCCTGTGTCAATAAGGTGATTTTTTTTCATTATTCTACTTCTCTGAAGCTATAGTTCTTAATAATCTTAGAATTGTTTACTGCTTTGCTACCGAGAGCTTTGGCTGCATTAGCTCAGAGCAGTACTAGGGAGAGAGATGGGGGGCATCATATCCTTATTTTACAGCTGAGTAAAACCGAGGCTCCTTACGTAATGATTTATAGAGAAGTTAATGACCCTCCTGAGCTTATGCACGTGGCACATGGTGAAGACTGTCTCAGCCCACTGTGTCTTTCTGCCATGATACCATTGGTGCCACTGATACCATTAGGCTGAAACTAGAGATCAGTTCATTTTCAGCCATAAAGAACCAGGCTTATCCTGCAGGTTTATTCAAATTCCTGCTATGTTTCAGGCACAAGAATTGCATATGGGAGCTGGGAGTGACGTGCAGATTTTTTACCTGCTGCCTGACATGCTTTCTGCTTTCCTTCTGCAGAGTGATAATGGTCTCCAGCTGCCAAAGAAGGCTGTGGATGCCAAGAGAAAGGTAACCGTTTCTCACCCCGTTGAGTGGAACTGGATGCCTCTAGGAGCCCGCACTGGCTGGCACTGAACATGGCCGAGTTCACAAACTACAAGGAAACTGCCTCCAGCCGCCACCTGCGCTTTAAGTTACAGAGTCTAAGCCGCCGCCTTGATGAATTGGAAGAAGCCACAAAAAACCTCCAGAAAGCAGAGGATGAGCTCCTGGATCTCCAGGACAAGGTGATCCAGGCGGAAGGCAGCAACTCCTGCATGCTGGCCGAGATTGAAGTGCTGCGGCAGCGAGTGCTGAGAATCGAAGGCAAAGATGAGGAAATTAAGAGAGCGGAGGACCTGTGCCGGCTGATGAAGGAAAAACTCGAAGAGGAGGAAAACCTCACCCGGGACCTGAAATCCGAGATTGAGCGGCTTCAGAAACGGATGGCCGAGCTGGAGAAGCTCGAGGAGGCCTTCAGCAGGAGCAAGAATGACTGCACCCAGCTCTGTCTGAGCCTGAACGAGGAGAGAAACCTGACGAAGAAAATCTCCTCCGAGCTGGAGACGCTCCGGGTCAAAGTGAAGGAGCTGGAGACGTCCGAGGACCGCCTCGATAAGACCGAGCAGGGTCTGGTGTCCGAGCTGGAGAAGCTGAAATCCTTAACTCTGAGCTTTGTCAGTGAGAGAAAGTACTTAAATGAAAAGGAGAAAGAAAACGAGAAGATTATAAAAGAGCTCACTCAAAAACTGGAGCAGAACAAAAAAATGAACCGAGATTATACAAGGAATGCTTCTAATCTTCTGGAAAGGAACGACCTGCGGATTGAGGATGGGATCCCCTCCACACTGCCATCCAAGGAAGCAAGAAGGAAGGGCGCTCTGGACTATCTCAAGCAGGCAGAGAATGAAACAAGGAATAAGTCTGAAAATGAAAAGAACCGAAATCAGGAAGACAATAAAGTCAAAGACCTTAACCAAGAAATTGAGAAACTGAAGACACAACTCAAACATTTTGAGTCTTTGGAAGAAGAGCTCAAGAAGATGAGGGCCAAGAATAATGACCTTCAGGATAATTACTTAAGCGAACAAAACAAAAACAAACTCTTAGCCAGCCAGCTGGAGGAGATAAAGCTACAGATCAAGAAACAGAAGGAGTTAGAGAACGGGGAGGTGGAAGGGGAGGACGTGTCCCTGTCCAGCAAGGGCAGGCACGAGAGGACTAAGTTTAGAGGCCACGGGAATGAGGCACCTGTGTCCAAGCACACGGCTCGGGAACTGTCCCCTCAGCATAAGCGAGAAAGGCACCGAAACAGGGAGTTTGCTCTTAACAATGAAAACTATTCTCTGAGCAACAGGCAGGTTTCCTCTCCCAGTTTCACCAGTAGGAGGGCAGCCAAAGCTTCCAACACAGGGGCAGGTACGGACAGTGGGACCCAGGAGGCAAAGAGAACCGAAGACCGATTTGCACCCGGCCCCTCTCAGAGCGAAGGGAAGAAGTCCAGGGAGCAGCCGTCGGTGCTCAGCCGCTACCCCCCAGCTGCTCAGGAGCACAGTAAAGTCTGGAAGGGCTCTCCCAAGCCAGGTACTGAGAGTGGGTTGAAGGGGAAAGTCGAGAAGACAACACGAACATTTAGCGATACCACGCACGGATCTGTTCCCAATGACGTCCTGGGTAGAGCTGACAAGGCTTCTGACACCTCCACCGAGGCCCTGTTCGGCAAGAGAGGGCAGGTGCCTAGCAATGGAAGTCAAGGAACTCAGGCCGCAGACTCGGGCAGTTCTAAGACCATTGGAGCCCTGGCCTCATCTCGAAGATCTTCCTCAGAAGGCCTCTCTAAGGGCAAAAAGGCTGCCAACGGCCCAGAGGCTGATACTAGCTCCCCAAATTCCAAGGCACCACTTTTATCAAAGTACCCTTACAGCTCCAGAAGCCAAGAGAACATCCTTCAGGGTTTTTCAACCCCAAATAAAGAAGGAGTTGATCAACCCATAGCAATTGTGATGGAAGACAGCAGTCAACATGAAGCCCTAAGGTGTCGAGTCATCAAATCTGGTGGCAGAGAGAAGCCAGATTCAGATGATGACATGGACATGATGTCTCTTGTTACTGCCAAACTGGTAAACACCACCATCACCCCAGAGCCAGAGCTCAAACAGCCCAGCTCTAGAGAAAAGGCCAAATCCCGAGGGGGTCTCAGAACCTCCCTGTTTGAGATTGATAGAGATGTTGGGACAGAAAGTGAATCTTCGAAACCTATCAGAGCCTCCACCAATCCCGCGGAGTTCCCAGAGGCCAATGGTGCGGGGGTAAAAAGTCAGAGGCCCTTCAGCCCCAGAGAGGCCTTGCGGTCTAGGGCCATCATCAAACCTGTCATCGTTGATAAAGATGTGAAAAAAATCATGGGAGGATCCGGAGTGGAGTCCACACTGGAGAAACAGAAGTTCCCCTCCAAACCAGGGCCAAACAAAGTTACGAGCAGCATTACCATCTATCCCTCCGACGGCAACAGCCCTCGAGCCGCCCCAGGTGAGGCCCTGCTGCGGGAGAGGCACACGGCCACCAGCAACATCCAGGTTGGGCCGCCAGAACTCGCAGCAGTTAGCAACCATGTCAGCTCCCCCTTTGAGCTCTCTATTCACAAACACGACATCACCTTGCAGTTCACGGAAGCTGAAAGAATGGGAGACGGGCCCCTGAAGAACAGGCCGGAAACAGTGGTCTCTCGGAGCAGCATTATAATCAAGCCATCAGACCCCGTGGAGAGGAATAGCCACGCACCCCCTGCAGAGACAGTCAGGTGGAAAAGCCATAGTGCCCCTTCAGAGGCGAGCCCTTCGGATGCCAGGCACGTTACTGTGCGGAACGCCTGGAAGGGCAGGCGGGATTTGAACTCTTTAGAAGACCCCCCGACTCAAATAGGTAAAAATGCGGCATCTGCCAATGCCTACACCCAGAGGTCTTCCACAGACTATTCAGACCTTGAACAGCCCAGGTCCTACCTTTGCGAGCTGGGCACTCGAAGGGTAGGAAACCCAGGGGATGCCCCTGAGCTCTCTTCCAGAAGGACCCAAAGTAGCCTCACTGTGTCAGAGGTGCTCACTCGGCAGAATCGGGCAGGAGACGCTGTCACGGCTGCCGCCTGGAACCACTTGGCAGGCTCGGTAGGTCCCTGTCTTTCCCTCTCTCCAGTCTGCCGTCCCTTTCCCCTTCCCACTTTTCCCCTTTGCCTCCTCTGTTCTGGCCTGTGTGACTCGGGTTATGGAGGCAGAGCGGCTGGGAAACACTGTATAGCTCTGAGAACTGTCGAAAATGAGGTAGGTTTGCCTTACCGATAAAGTACCTTGAGGAAGGTATTTGATTGGCAGAGGAGCGTGAATTTCCAAAATCCTTTCCCCAGTTTGTCTTCATGTATGAGGGCCTGATGAAAAGGGGAGATCTGTGCTCCTCTGTGCTCCCATTTGCAGAGTAGCCAAAGGAGCCCCCCCTCCGGCTCCACAGAGCAGCAGCTGGAAGCACAAGCAGCAGCAGCCGCCGCCGCCGGGGAGCTCTGATGAGGGGGAAGCCCAGGGTCCTTCCCGCAGAGCGGGGATGGGAGCTGGGGAAACGGGCTCTTGGCTGTTTCCATTCGGACCGCGGCTCTCTTGCCAGCTGCTGGCACAAAGGCCTACTTTACAGACTTTACGCCTGCGTACCTTTTCGCCCCAGACACCAGCTGAGCCCATTGTGTCATCAGTGTAAGGGCAGGGCTGGCTCATGTTCACTCGGTACAGCATAGAAAAACCCAGAAGCTCCTCCTTGAGGGTCACACTGTCAGAACAGCTTCTGAAGGGGAAGCCCCCAGGAATATCCGTTAGATGTGGCACCTGTGAAAGGCAGGTGACTATATGTTCACTTGAAAAGCCCTTAAGTCTTTACAAGGTACTTAACATTTGACAAAGCACCTCCCCGCCCACTAACCTCATTCGGTCTCCCCAGCAGCCCCATCAGGCAGGTGTTATCCCCATTTTTTTTTTAGATGGAGAAACTGAAGGTCACACCCAAGTGAATTACCGGAAGAACTAAGATTTGAATCCAGGATCCCTGTCTCTCAATCCTACACTCTGCTTTGTACCTGCTGCTCTCCTCACTCACACTTGTGTCCTTTGATTGCATTTGCTTGGGAGCACCAAAGCAAAACATTAAAAGGCAGAAGTCTGGTAGAGGAGCAGTGGGGAGAGAGCTGGACATTTAGTCCTCGGAAGTTTGCTGTCTGAGACGTGAAGGGGGTACATGATGTTTACCATACGGTATGGAGAAGGGAATGAGCTGGGAAGTAGGAAAGTGGGAAAGCGCTGCCCGGCTCCCGTCTCAGCACGCATCTTGTGAGCCCACCTAGGAGGTGGCTCTCACCCTGAGAAGCCTGCAGCCTGTATGTTCAGAACTGGAGCACTGCTGGCTACTATTTAGGGGTGCCCTGACTCCTAGCCCTGTACTTTGTAGGGCTTCTGTTCAGTTGTGAGCCCCCCACTCTACCCTAGGAGCTCCCGGCAGATTGGGAGTTTGTCGGCTACCCTGATTTCCAAGGATTTTTGTATTGGCCTGTCCTTGGGGAAAATGTATGTCTGCATTGTGCTGCGGTCTGTCTGTGCGGCACCTCCCTCCATCAGGCTGGAGCGGACCTCTGGGGCGTGGAGTGAGGGTAGCTCTGTCACTCACCGTGTCATCCTCCACAGCTCACTGTTGTCATTTCTTGGCGCAGGAGGAAGACGACTGCACACATGGTGTCTACAGGCGGCTGCACAACTCCCTGGAACGTTCTGAACTGCCTGTGAAGCAGGGGCTGGCAGAGCCTGGGCAAGCACAGGCCGAGGAGCGGATACGGCCAACCAGGCCCTGTGCGGAGGACAACTGAGCCAGCGGGCCGAGGTCTGTCGTCGCCTCTGCTCCGCTCCTCAGCTCTCCCACCTGCCCTTCCCATGAAGGTGGGATCCCAGGCCAGTACCAGGCAAGACACCAGGCCCTGTCTGGGAGACTGTGGCAGGGAGCCAGGCTGTGGCTCAGGTCATTTCTGCAAGTTGGCCAGAGGGGATCAGAAACTACAAGCTGGACAGTCACCTAGGCTTCCCTGATTGATGCATGAGACCTCCTTGTCCCTGTCCTGTCCCCCAGGTAGAATGGGCCACTCTGGTCCCCAAATAGGGAATGATAGAAACTCCTTATATCCCCACTGTACAACTGTAGCCCCTTCCTTGTGGTTAATAGTCTGATTTCTCAGTCACCTTACCACATCCAGTTTGCTCCTTTGTCCGTCCTAGGGGCCTAAGTACCTACATTAAGACTTACCAGCCATCAGCTCCTTTCAGGGGCTTCCATTTCTTGCCCCTTTGGAGTTCCTCAGACTTATTGAAGACATTTGTGTTGCCTCTAATGGATTATGGGACTACACTTTAAATTGAAACTTCTCTGACTGGCCCCTCTTGCTAACCACTGTTTTCTGGGGGCAGAGTACATGGGTACCCACCCACCTGTTGGAATGACATCATCTGTCCCCCAACCCCAGCTCTCAGCTCACCTTCCAAAGGCACCTGGAAATGCACAAACCTCATGCATCTCCTTCCTCGGGCACCAGTAATGCTGCTGGCATTGCCTGCTCCTCTCCTGTGGCTGGAGACGTCATGCTGACTGTTTCTCCACCTTTGGAAAATTCCCAGACTAAACTGGGCCTGACCCAGCATACTCTGCCTTCTAGGAAGCGCCCAGCAAAGGGGAATGGGGACAGGAAGAAGCGCCTCCCCTTCACTCCACAAAGCAATAGTTCCATGAAAGGCACGGACTTTGTTCCTCCTCCGTCTCCCACGGAGGAGGCAGCGCACTTTACCAGGCTGACGCATCCCTGCAGAAGTGGGCCCGTGGTTTCTGCCAGCCCTGACTTCTCGGGAGGAAAGGCAGCACGTGCCCGTCAGGGCCCCAGATGTACACAATTCCAAACGCAGCAAACTTTGCAGGAAACCACGTAAATAAAAACCGATTCGTTTACTTAATACCATTCACATGGGGAAGTTAAAGAACTTGTGACCTTGGCACTGCTTTTCTGTAGCATTCTCTCGATTTGAAGAAGGGATCCCCTTCGCGGTAAAAGAGCAGTGCAGCAGGAGTCAGGAAAGCTGGATTTCCTTCACGGCACTGTGCTTCGCCGTGGGTCCCTGTCTGTGAAACGGGTCCTTTGAAGTGGCTGGTTCCGAAGGGGCCTCGATCTGGCAGTCCGAGATTCCTGTTTCCATCATCCCACTGCGGGGAGGTGATTCTCGTTGGGAGGGGCCACCCAAAGGGATCTGGGGAATGTGTCCTCGGTGCCCTTGACAGCCCTTTTGGGCCCTTTCTGTCATGAGTTGGAGCTTTGGCCTCATTTTTCCAGTCTGTAAAGGGAAGGGTCTCTGTGATTAACGGTCTCTGTGGCCCTTTCTGGCACCAACACCTTGCCCACCACCACGTGGTATCTCCTGGCTTCCACAGTCCATAGCACAAGTGGGTGTGCCTCCTGTTCCTGTGCTTCTTGAGTCACTTCCTCTGCCTCCGCTCAGCGTGGGAACCAGTGTGCACCCTGCCTCTTCTGCACCAGACTTGGCAGTCCTGGGGTGGGGGGAACACCTACCTTACTTTCGCTGGCAGGGATGTTTTGCTTGATTCCATTTTCTGGAGTTTTGCCAATCTAAGGGTGTTGTCCTGTGGCTTGCCTTTCCTTCACATTGCTGCCTCAGAGGTTTAACTTCAGATGCTGTTTTCAAAACCTCTTCTACTGCTTCTCCTGGTCACTGGCCAGACACTAGCTTGTTCAAGGCTGCAGCCTCTCACGTAGCCTCCCTGCCATTTTCCACGGTTGGCAACCCTGACAGTCTGAAGGAAACCGACCTCTGTGGAGAGGAAAAAAAGTCTGTGGCTCTTCTCTACTGGTGGGAACAGAAGGGTGCCAAGCCATGCCTTCGAAGAGCTCGCCGATGTCATCGGAGCCCTGGATTCTGGTGCTGTAGCTCCTGGTGCCAAAGTCTGGATCTTTCCACACTTCAGCAGCATCAACATCTGCCACTCCCCATAATGCTCTGGGGTAGAGGGACTGTTGTAGTGCCCTCTTGCTGGGGCTGCTGTCTTACAATCCGAGTGCAATAGGGTTTGATTATGTTATTTCAGGATAAATACTGTTTCATCTGCACACTTCCTAGAACCTCTGTAAAGCATATTTTAAAGAATGTCCTCAGCATTGCAGAAAATACCATTTGTAATAGCCCGTGAAGGCTGGATGCTCAGTCACCCTGGGCTTCCAATGACTGGCAAGGCTGGCTCTCAAATTCCAAAGTAGGGAGGCACGTTTCTGAAAAGCAACTTAGGTGAGACCAGCTGGACTTGGGCCTCACCATCAGGGGTCCTGGAAGAAACATCCAAAAAAGGGGGAGGCCTGGTAGTTGAATAGTTCTCTAATAAAGCCAAATATTCCCTGTCCCAGCCAATAAACCCACTTTTATGACAAGCCTTTTCTGCAGCTTGGCTCAAACTCTCCTAAGTTTTACTGGCAGGTGGATGGTTAGGGGAGGGTCCTAGTGAAGTTGGGGGGGGGGGTGGTAGCAACTCCAGAGCTGCCTGGTTGGAGGAAGGAGAGCTGGCTAAATGCCAGGAGCTGCTCTTTCACCTGTCCCTTACCACTCTGATACGAAAAACTGGGGAAAGCTGCAGGGATGGCAGGCAGGAGGAAACCATGGCTGTTTTCACTTTTGAGCGGCAAGGAAAACAGTTACATGTGGGTTAAAGGGATCTGCAGGGGGGGCCGTGGGCTCCGACCTTCGCGACAGGCAAAAGCTTGCACGTAAATCAACCCCCTCTCATGGGGTGTGAGAGGGTCTGTATTGATCTTGGACTTGTCATCCTGGGGCAGTTTTAGTTCTTGACATTATAGTGGGTGAGTGCCAAGTGCTACCACTTCCCAGTAAAGGAACAGGGACCCAGCCTCTCGCCCAGTCCCTAGCTGCCTTTGTTGGTGTGGTTTTTGTTTTTTGAGACTGCTTAGAAAGAGCTGCTTTTAGGGATTACCTTTTGAATACCCCGAGTGGGGAACAGGGTTCTCCTCAAAGCCTCATAACCGAGATCATAGGAAAGGGGCCCTATTTTCCTGCTGCTTCACAGCTCAGAACATGTACTGAATGGAATGTATTTTTAAGAGAATAAAGTCTATTTTTTTTTTTGTATTTTAAAGATTGGGAGGGCTAGGGAAGTAGCCCTCAAAAACTGTTAATACATTATAGGCCCCTTTTACTAAGGGGCGTCAGTATCTGGTCCACACTTACTTGCTCAGGCAGGTGCTCGGGTCTCACCCCTGCCCCTTGGAGTCCAGGTGCAGCAGCTTCTACACTCCTGCTCCAGGCACGGGACCAAGGAGGCCGGAACCCTGCTGCTGGAAACCAGGGCAAAGCCATGAGCAGTGACTCAGGGCTCCTTGGGTGCATGTGTAGTTGAAGCTGCCTGTCTGCATGTATCCTCTGGCTCTAATGCTGTCTGTTGGCTCCGCAGCACAATATGTAACCAATAAAGCTCCCTAGTTTCCATGTGCTCTGTGTGTGAGTCAGTAATGCCATCTTTGTTGATGTCATCTCTGCATATAGCTGTTTCCTGTGCACCGGTTCAGCTAGTTTATTTCACTTTAAAATTCTCAGCCAACTACCAGTGCTGTTAAGGACTTGGAAACACAGCCAAGGCTTAGTCAAGGACACGCCTAGAAGCCAAGCTGAATTGGAGTTAGAATTATGTAGCTCCTATTTTATTGGTACATTTTAGTTTTAGGCTTTGTTGTCACACACAGAACAATGGTCTCACGCTGCCTATGCCCTCTACTGCATTTAAAAAACAAACTTAAAAGCACTGCACTTACCACTCAATCAAACAACTTAACTCCCCTTCCCTGGCCCATGCTCACAATATTAATGGCAGAGCTGGGCTCCACAGACCATCCACTTTCCACCGTACGCTGGTCTCACCGTTAACCTCAGTTACACCACCACCCTAATCCTGGTGTGCAGAATTTCCCTGCTGCTGTCATTTCAAGACGAGAAAAGCCCTCTCCAGCCAGACCACCAACATACGTAAAACCTCACTTAGGGAAGGACTGATTGATAAAAGTAAAATCCAATTTCCAGAAGCAAATGACACGTGCATTTAGTCTGTTAAGGGCCCTTGGCAAGAAGCAATAGACACACTTCCTTACAAGTTTTTACCTTAAGTGGCAAAGGGACTTCGCAGATGCAGATGTGATAAAGGATTTTACGGTGGGGGAGATCTGGGTGGGTCTGAAATGAAGTCAAGTATTCCCATCAGAGGGAGACAGAAGAAGGACCTAAGGAACCCAAGATGGTGATACCAGAGTGATGTGCTTTTAGACAGGAGGGAAGAGCCACTAGCTAAGGATACAGACAGCCGCCAGAAGCTGAGGCACACGCCGTGGGCGAAGTATAGAGAAAGCCAGAACGTTCTGCCAGAGGCCCATGCAACTTCATGCTGTGTTTTACCTTGAGAATTCAAAGTTGCCCAATATCCATATACTTTACCTGCTGCTTCACACCTCTGGCACACGGTCACTCACAAGCCCAGTGGGGAAGTCTAGCCCTGCAGACAAGGAAGCCCGTGGCTTCTACAGGGCCCCTCTCAGCCCATCTTTTGACCTGACCAAACCATTTCCCCCTTTATACAGACTTCTTCCTCCTGGGAACATGGGTAAAATTAGCATCTCTAAAGGAGCGGCACCACTGTCTTGTACACAGCTCTAACCATAAGGGCACAGGAATAAAAAAGATAAGACTAATTTTATATGAAGTTTATTCTCAAAATATTTTTAAAAAAACTATCACACACCAAGAGACTAAGATGTTCACTCATAGTGCTTGTCTGCCTCAGTCTTTGACGGACACACGCCGCCACACGAGTAAGTGCCTCCCTCTCTAGCTCTACGTCACGCAAGGCAGGCAACACCGCCATCAACACCAGAGAAACCTCTGCCTGGCCACCTGGCCAGCATGGACTTCATCAGTTGATCGGGAGCCCAGATGCCAGAGTGAGTTTTTCAGGAATCTAGTATTGCTAGAAGAACTTCGCTTACACAGCAAAGGACACATACATCGGCCTCTTCTGTCCGGATCTGTCTCATATGCTTGGTGACTGCTGTGCAGGGACCCCCGGTGTGGCCTGGCGGGGCAGGGTGTACATGGCTCCCAAGAACTGGTCTGCAATCCTTCCTGCTTCTCGAAGCCCACTCAGCAGAGCACCATGGACTGTGGCTGGGTAGTTACGGATTGTATGCTCTCCAGCAAAGAAGAGTCTTGGAACTGGCTATTTCAGGAAAGAAATATTGAGAGAAAATCAGCAGGTTGCAAATACACCTCCATTCTTCTGTCTGAACGGCCAAATTCCTGTTGGCCTTTGAAGCTGACTCCCCCCACCCTCTGCCCTCTCCCATCATTTTACCAAAAAGGGTCTCCCTCAGTCGGCATTTTCTTAGAACTGAGAGGAGTAGGAAAGGGACAGTAAAGCTTAGTCCAGCCACAGTTGTAGAGTGATGCTTCACTGCCTCTGTTCTTATGTACAAGTTTAACTCTGGGGGACACCCCGTTCTCAAGCTTCCTTTGCTTCATACAGTACCTGCTGAGCAGGGGTGGGGGGGTGGGTCCTCACTGCTCTGACCCACGGAGAACACAGCATGTGTTCTTACTCGGAAAGCATTTGCCTCTCAGTACAGACGGGCCTTATTTGCCACAGGGTCCTGAGGAACATTCGCTCTTTGAAGCCAGGCCAGGCATCCTCTAGACAGGGGCCCAAGGTCACTTCTCAGGGGCGCACCCTGGAGGCCCCTAGTGTTGGGACCCGAAACAATCCTATCAGCCACTACAAAATGGTGGGGGGTGGGGTGGGGGGGTTAAAAATGTTTGATTTTGATAGGAACCAAGATCTGAATAAGGAAACAGTTATTAGTTGGTTTATACTCTGGATTCTTTCACTTTAGACTCATTCTGCCCAGATTTATAAAGTCAAAACGTGAGAAATCTGACACGATGACACGGTGTCCCCTGTTCCTCTGCTCTGGGTTATCTGAAAGGGTCCAAGGACAGGAGTAAGTCTGGAACAGTGAGAGGCATCTTTTGCCCTGAGATCCTGGAACACGAGCCCCTTCCCATAAGCCCAGGTACAGTTTGTCAGTTCCTCACCTGTGGGGCGCCAGGAATGGAGGGGCCGGGAGTGATGGGCTGAGCCATTAAATCATAGTCATTTCCAGATGACCCTGCAGCTACGTAGGAATAGGAGCCCCGAGCCCAGGGGTCAGCACGCCAGCGAGACACCACAGTTTCCTTGGGCTAAAGAAAAAGCCACGAGCAGAAGTTATCACTAGAGGCCAAGGACAAACCAGTAATCTCTGAAAGGTGGAAAAGCCGTGGTGAGTGGGGATGCAAGTGAGAGAGCTGGAGAGGCAGCAGACACGAGAGTGAGCCCAGTGGTGAATGCTGTTGCTTTAAAAGGTGCAGCAGAAAATGCCTTCAGAATGCGAGGAAGCCTCCATGTTGTACCCTTGTCCACGAATCCACAGATCTACCTAGGACTTAAATTCTCTTCTACAAGTTCACACAAAGCATTAATATGCCTCTTCTCAAAGGAATCTGAGGGTCTGTGTGTCAGTAGGCCTAAAGAGTAGAAAAAAGTTTCAAAAGATTCTCTTCAGACTTCCCCGAAGGAGTCCGGCCGCTTTGATGGACAGGTGGTGTGGGATGGAGGTGTGAGTCCCAAAACAGAGAACAGGCAAGCAGGCAAAGGCAGCCAAGACTTTCCGAATCCCACACTTACGGCACAAACTCCAAAACATAAGCATTCATGTAAATCCATACACCCTTTTCAATTCTGGCTGAGTGTCCTGACCAAGTGCTGTGCTGCAACCCAGGAGAGTATGTCAGACCCTGCGTGCCCCGCCCACTCACTCACCTGGGGCACTGCACTGCTACCGAAGATCCCTTTGAGAATGGCCAGGCATCGGCCCACAATCACATCGTCGCTTATGTTTTCCATGATGCCAGCAGCTTCTCCTGCCACCAGTGCCAACAGTATTGGAGCTAGGGGAACAGAAAGGACAATTCCAGGGTTTTCCTACAGGCTTCAACCAAGAACCCACAGTATTCTTGGTGCTCTGATAGCCAGTAAGTAGACCATGTACCACCTGTGACAAAAACAGCTGTTTCTGGCACAGCAACGTGAAATCTATCCCCGGAAGGGAGCGGGCAAACTTTAGTAAGTGAAGTGTGACTCATGTACTTCATGGCTTATAACTCTGCAGAATACGGAAGTCCGGAAGATGTAACTTCATATCTTGTTAATGAAAGAATACTAAGTATCCCATTGAGGCAAACAATTCCTAGCCCTGACCAATGCAGACAGCCCATGACAAGGGGCGTCCTTTCAGCTAACCCAGGCCCCGCCAAGCCCAGCGCCACCTCGACTCACCCGTCTGATAAACACTCATGCAGCAGATGTATGTGACAGGCACAGGAGTACATGCTGGGGTGCACATGCTATGAACTAGACTATATAGTCCATAGATAAAGAGACGCTCAGAATAAGTAACCACAGATATATAATTATGTATGTAACAGAAGCTCCTGAAGAAAAATAACAGGACGCAGAGAAAAGGCAGAGAATTTAGATTTGAAGCAGTGGAGGTATGTGTATCTTGGGAGTCCTCTTTGAAACAGTGACATTTAGGTGAGGACGTGACAGGCAGAGTAAGCCTCACTGGGAAGGAAGAGAAGAAGAAAAATAAAAACACTCCAGGTACAGCACTTCCAGGCAGGGGCCCTGAAGCAGAAAACAGCACGGTGCACTCCAGGGCCCTAGGGCAGCGGCAAGGGTGCCTAGCGCCCAGGGAGTGGATGGGGTAAGAGGGATGAACAACGAGGAAGCTGAGGGACAGGAGGGCCAGATTAGCGGGGCCTTCTTAGGAATGTCTGCAACAGAAAGCCCCTCACAAGACAGAAGGGGGGGGTGGCAAGGGGGGCAGTTAGTGCCTGCTGGCGACTGAACAGGTGGGAGGGGGAGGGGCCTGCACTGGGAGGTGAGCGGAGAGAGGCGGTGAGGCCAGCACGGACAGGACTCTGTGGCCTGGGCGGGGGAGGGATGTTGGGCAGGGGAAGGATGTTGGCGGTGCCTTCCGACACTGCTGCGCATGTCACACATGCTCTTCCCGCGATGAGGTGGGGCCCAAATATACTTTTTAAACCTCTGTATAGGATTCAGAGCAATCCAAACGCAGGAGAACGTACAACACAAGACAGGAGTTTCATAAATACACTCTAAGGTGATCAGAGACTCCGGGACAAGTCACATATGAGACTGGGACTAAGGAATACAAATTCCCTCCAGGAAGCCTCTCTGGGCTTGCCCCTCCTGGTGGGTTGAGTCCTCCTTCTGTGTTTTCCTGTGGAGCACTCAGGCCACCCCATCATCTACCGCATTTTGCTGTGTATAACGCACACTTTTTTACCCAAATTTCTGAGGAAAAAACAAGGATGTGCATCATACA